CTTTACTGCTGGAGCGCCGCTCCTGTGCCTTCCTGCAGGAAATGACCCCTGTTTAAGTATATGATTTTAAACGAATATATGAAGGCATAGTAGCACATTAGAATTGTGTGTTTTGTTTGAACACGGTGTTTTTCTACGTTTACTCAACCCTGCTGTGTTTTCGGTGAGTTTGTTGCCCTCCTGTAGGCTGGCAACCCTGGAAGAATTTCAGGGGCAGGGAAGATTCGTGTAGTTCATGTTTCCATCCCAAGGGTAATTTTAAAAAGTCTGTTATAACTTTTGAATACCTCATAACAAGTAGGAGTGATATGGTTTGAAATATGGGGTGGGGCAGATACCTCCTCTCTGCTTTCCCTAAAATGGCATCCCTTATCGTTCCTTTTCTCGCCATTGTGAGGAGGTGAATTCATTGAACTCCAAGCACCACGATACAAACACTGGATTTTTACTAAATAGTAAAAGTGCATTCAAGCAATAGTAAGAATCTACGGGTGAAATATGCAGCATTCCCTGACAAAACTTTTAAAAAATGTACTGCAGTTTTATGTCTTGTTTAGTTTTATAATAAAATCCAGGCAAAAGGGCCTGATCAGCTGCTACTTTCTGTGGGGTTTTAGAAGTAGCTTAAAACAAACCAGACCACTGGAGGATGTAATTGTTTGGGTATGCGTGTTTGAGACTAACTTGTTATGTGTTCTTGTTAGTTCTGAGTGAAAATTGTCAATGGATGACTGTGCTTATGTTTGCATCATGTGTTTGTCATGTCCATAAAATGTATTTTCAGCGATATTTTGTTTATGTCCTTGAAACTTACCAGGAAATGTTACTGGTTTCCTCATTGTATGCATGACATTGTCTAAGGCAATGGTGTTCAAGTGGTGGGTCGGGACCCAAAAATGGGTCATGGGCCAAATTAGGAGAGGTTGTACCAGGGACATGTCTGCCATTTTCTTTTGTAATGTTTTTTTAATTAGTTTAGAGAAGGAGAACGAGAAGGTAGAGTAGAAAGACAGGGAGGTGGTGGTGTGGAGAAAAGAGAAAAGTTGAAGAAAGCTATTGATGAATATAGCACACACAAAAAAATTAATGTGGTCTCCTTGAAACAGGCTGGGCTTGAAGGGTCAAAGACCTCTGTTTCAAGACTGCTGCCCTAAGTCATTCAGCCTTGACCTCAGGAAATGACCCACTAGGAAGGGAAAGTGTATACGGTCATGATCCAGCCAAAGTTAAGTACTTTGAAGTCTCTTGTTTTCAGTAGGCTCTTTAGAGAGGCATACCTTTTGAAATCAGTGGGGATTTCAGTGGGGCTCATTAGGGATGGATTTTGCTCCATTTTACAAACATGCAAAACAAAGTTATCTCAACTAGGTAGTACATACAAAGGCCCATTAGGAAACTGCAAAATGATATTGACATAGATAAATTGGGATCCAGCCTAGGGTTCTGATGGTTTTCGATAGGAGAGTGAAGTACATGCTTCAGCCCTTCCTATTTAAATTAATGGGACTGAGAAGTGCTTGGAATCGGATCATAACATTTCGTTCTCTTTGTCAACTTCAGTGAATGCAAATAAAGAGAGTCACTTATGAAGAGCTTCTGGTAATCTTACACACAACTTTGCTCACAGAATCTTACTTAAAGAAGTGCGACCATACCCCATTTGTCAACTGATGTTTGGTTTGGGGAGATACAGTCTAAATGCCGTTGAGCAACAGTAATGAATAATTTTATACAAGAAAAACAATATCTATCTATCTATCATCTATCTATCTATCATCTATCTATCTATCTATCTATCTATCTATCTATCA